GATCTCAATAAAAAACAGCAGAAAAAAGTTAAAAGCGGGAAGTCGCGATAATTGCAAAATGGGATTCACCATTCGTAGTGGAGCCTCTAACCTCGTCGCCTCGATGCAGTGCAAGAATCTCGACAGCGAACGCACAGCCGACTCGAGCTGAGCGCAGAAACGAAAGCTACGTGGCTTTCAGACTGTTTTGAAGCAAGTAAGCATGGTACACTTTTAGAGATACGGAGACAACCCTTGGTCATTTTTTGGCGACGAATTATGGACATGTTCTTTTTGGCTAAGACGCGAATCAAATTTGTAAATCATTGGAGGAACCACAAAGTGCCTTGTAATTGAAGTTGCGCAGATAGAATAGGATTCGACTGGTAGCCTGTGCCTCAGCTGCTGTAACTTTACGACAACTTTTACTTAAGTTAAATGGGCTAGTATTCGAAATGCTCTAAGGAGATAGCGGAATGACAGTTTGAAATCTGAAAGGCAGAGACGGAGTGAAAATTCGCCAGGAAGGCAAAGTTTTACCTCGAAATAAGTAACTAATAACTTGCAATGTCACTGGGATTCAAAGAAGCAATTGCAAGAAGTCTGTTTCTAACTTCGGAGGCGCTGCGAAAAATGTATCATCGCCATTAACTCCCTTGAGCGAGGAATTCACTCCAAGGTGCTGCGGTGTAACTAGTCGAGAAACGGGTAGCACGAAATTGACTTGCAAACAACAGGGACAACGTGTGTTCCAATGTGATGGCACTAGATTACGAGAGGTATGAGGACATTCTTTGAGTTGCAATTCACTTTTACCGATCTGATGGATGACACTGTAGAACGATGCTCAACGCAAAATGTGGACATCCTGTTGGTGTTCTGTGTTTTCTGGAGAAGTTCGAAATTGATGAATGAGACTTAAGGTAACTTAACATTAAAGGTCTGCTTCTAATAATTACACGAGACCAGAAACTATGATGTGCTATGTGAAGGAATAGCTACTCTGGGCAGAAAGTGAGACGATAAGGCTTGCCTCATGTAAAGAGAAGACCATGATGACGATGGTTGGAGGATATCGTACAGTAGGCATCATTCTCACCTCAGGAGCTGAGCAAGACCGGAAGGCATGACATATTGCATAACACCGTCTTTCCCAAACAGGGGAAGACAAATTATAATTATCTTACAAGTAGGCAAAACTACATGGAACCAGAATGAATGTTCGTTGAAGCTTCAGAAATGCGGTATTACGAAAAGGTACCATGAATTTTTTGACAAACGTGAGTCTCAAGGCCAACAAACAAGTCTGAAATCAAGCCTGTACTCAAGATTCACACCTCAGGAACAGAGAGGAGACAAAATACGAAGTTTCGATCACGTTTGCGAACAAGAGCGGACGCCTGCTGTGATTGCTTGTACAAAGCTGTACTCGAGGCATGTGACAGCAAGAAAGATCATATCGATAAACTTGGCATGCTATAAGACAATGAAGCAAAATCGATACTGCTAATGTCGTTAAGTTCACGCAAGCCGTGCGAAATATTGCAACCACTTATCCTTTAGCACAGAATAACATTACACTGTACGGCAACGAGGTAAAACACTACATAAATTTAATGACGTTTAAATTGGGTGCATTTCATAAATATCTATAAGTGTTCCCTTGGCGTAGAGTGAGGAATTACCAAAATAAGAGATTATATGACAGTTCGAAATATTATAACCGCGCAGTGTTTTCATAAGCCGCAAAATATTCCGCAGTAGCGACTGGGATTGACAGAAATCTTTGCATTTGTTGCTTCAGTTTTGTCTCACAAAATGACATCCTTGTACAGGTTCGGTCACCACTGTCAACTGTGTCCAGGATATTAAAGCCCTTTACTGCGTTGACTGTTCAAGACACCATACAGTTTCTTAAATTGGTAATTCTCCACTCTACGCAACGAATACAGAGAGAAAGGATTGTAAAATAACCCCATCAGATGCTTGGCTAAATTTATGGTACGGTGAGGCCGTCAGTTGTGTAAATCTCCCAACCAAAGAACGGTGTATTTCGTTTAGCCATTCCGACTGACCTATGAATGAGCGTTGGATTGACTGACAGAGGATTCCGGAAGATCCAGACTGTAACTGACGACCACATCCGAAAACTTTCGAATAGCTTGAATGGAAAAGACCTAGAAAATCATGTGCAATGGCACTGTCGAAGGTCGTCCAATCATGTCGTCATCATTGTGAATAACGGATGACATTCTTCGTGCCGCCACAACTATCCCGTTGAATAAGGTAGAAAAGTACTACAGTTGAGAACCATGCTCTAATTCCTAAGCACAGTCGATTCATAAGGTACCTGTAATTAAAAGATGAAAAGTTCCCCATGTCATTACAGAAGTTCACATAAGTTTGTGCACACACATCTGTTCCCATTACATATTTACCCCACCTCCTCGATCTTCTACATAGTTTCTGTGCATGTTACCTGCTAAGGACACCATAGATGATCGACAACAATTTTTATAGTAACCACAATAATTCGAATGGAGAACTGTCAAGAAATGGCACTTCATTTGGCTCACAGTACGAAGGAAAAACTGAAGTTTCTTCACCTGGGCAACTTGTTCATCAATGAAGAGGAAACGGAAGAGAAGATTATGCCGGAAAAAATGTCGTTCCAGATTGCACACACTATATAAACGCGTTAATTTTTCAATCGGGAACATAACTATGCTGCTGGTGCCACCGAAGCAGCAGAAGTGATAAAAACGTGCCACAATATTTCAGGACTCTACGAGGACATTGTAATCATATCTATTGTGGGACGGTCACAAGCAGCAGCAGGAAAATTGCCATCCATCCATTGCACGACGCAGACAGTCAGGCGTTGGACAACTAAATCCAACTGGCCTAATTGCTATTGTACTTCCAGAAGGGTACAGGCAGAGGCAGACGTTTGGTGGCTTCATTGTACACAACGGCGGATCCCACCACGACAACCGATGATTATTTTCGCAATCATCCAATTAATGTGCCTAGGGAACTCTTCCTCTATTTCAGCAGATGCACACGGTCCACGGGATACAGTACACCCACGCCATGCCATCCGTGTTTGCTTTGACGCCAGACAATATAAACATGAATTATTTGCGAATAACCTGGAGGCTCTGAAAAATATAAAGCCAAGTTTGTCACCTCCATCGGTACTGGTTGATTTCAAGCAGGTATCCGCTAACGCGTTCCAAAGAATCTTTCGAAAAGTCACCCATGGCGGGTGCTACTTTCAGTTCGGTCAATGCAGCTCTAAGCATTCAGACGAATAGTCGCCAGAAAACATGCTCAGCAGATGCAACCTTCTGCTTAAAACTCTGAATGCTCATTGCACCGTCTTACGCAGCAGTGCGGCATCTGAGATCGCTTCCGAAATGAATGCTTCTGTGACCGAAGCAAGAAGGTTTATGGACTACTTCGAAGTGGATTAAGATAAGTGGATTAGCCGTCAAAATCGGCGGCAGGCACGAAGGCTACCACGCTTCACTGTGGCAATTTGGAATTGCTTTGACATGATCCATGAAGGCCTGCCAAAAATGAGTAGTGCCGTAGAGGAATGGAATCGAAAATTTTCAGAACTCGCACCATCCCTCCACACTTAAGTTCATCATGGTTTGCAAAAAGAACACAGCCTGGAGGGAACTATGATCGAGCAGTTCATTTCTGACCAACCGCAGCTGCCACATAAGAAAAAATACATTGATTCAACTCAGGGCATGGTCAAGTTAGTTGATCATACACCTTGAGGAACGCCACTATGCAGCCTATCGATTATTTACGAGGCCTTACAAACAATCGTAATTGCTCATTGAACGGTCCAATGTGTTGCATCTTCGACTTTCTTCTGCGTTTTACCATTCAGAATGTTCATGTGTAATAATGTATCAAACATATTGAAAAATAAATGCTTCCTAAATCTATCATTTGTGTACTTGTAACTGGTAGAATTTAGCAGCAAGAAGGCGAAAAGTGGATGTATCATAAAAGGAAGGAAATGTAAAGCAACGTCATCTGAGGATGGTGCCTTGCACAAAATAGATGAGTATAAATAATAGAATAATATTGATAATTCTGTCTGTAGCCAGATTTGCATTTTTCGACAAATATTTGACGCATAAACGATGGTACGAGATAGTACAGTTGGAAAAACAGGGGCTGAGGATGCACGAGCGGTACTTAAGACACCTACGGATTTTCGATGACATTCTGATCTTCACAGTGTAATCGAAACACCTAGAAAAAAATCCATGAGTTGAACAACACAAATATTGCGA